TGTTAACAAACATTTTCTTATGAATACATTTCCAAGGACTGAGATACATTCAAGCACATGCTTACTTTAATATTATGAAAATTATCGATTATATTAAATCCTCGAGTTGTTAGTTCAACAGCCATTAAAAAGGTAAAAGATAATAGATCGAGAATTTGGTTCCACGTGGACCACGTGAATAGCCTAACATTGGCCCAAACGTTCCGTTGTGTCGATGCTGGCACAAGGTCACACGGCAAGGTACCGCACAACGTCTTCCAACAAAAACCATCTCCATCAGTCTATATTTTTCGTCGATTCGAGGTTTTTTCCAAAGAAAAAATATAAAAATGGCATGCAAAGAATTGCTTGCAGAGATAGATCTGTAGCATCACGTAGGAAATTTTGAAGGTAAGTTCTTATATACATATTATAATAATTTACATTTTATTATTTTGGTAGGTATATGTGCATTGGCCCATTAGTATAATCATTACCAGAAGATAACAGTTAACATTAACCTGAAAAACCATTTTGAATGCATCCCAATAAGCATCATTTTCATACACGATATTCATTCTTTGTTACTTAATATTGAAGAAATTGCCCTTACCATACAGGGTGTCAATTTGAAAACTTCCCACCCCTATTATCTCGGAGTAGAAAAATATTCGAAAAAATCCCTGAAACACGTCAACTATAATTTGAGGGTGGATGAGTTTTTATGCAAAATTCACCTCCCCCCTTTCAACCCCCCAGCCCCCAGAGCCACCCCCTAGAAAATTTTAAATGGGAAAGGGGGTCGAGTAATACATCATTTTGGAAGGTTTTTGATTCCATACATTTTGGTATAAAATTTTAATCCCTAAGTTCAACTGTTTCGGAAATACTGACAGTTGAAAATTGACTTTTTTGCAACTTTGACAGGCTGTTGAACCTAAGCGCTTAATTTTAGAGGAAAACCGATCTCACATTTTTGTCTTGGATTTTTATAAACTATCATTTGACAGGAACTTCGAATTTAATCCACGATCAAAAATTCCGGTTGAACATTTATTCTCCGGTTAAATCAAAAATGGTGTCAAAATGATAGTTTATGAAAATCTAAGGTAAGAATGTAAGATCGGTTTTCCTCTAAAATTAACCGTTTAGGTTTTACAGCCTGTCAAAGTAGCAAAAAAGTCAATTTTCAACTGTCAATATTTCCAAAACAGTTGAACTTAGGGACTAAAATTTAGCACCAAAATGTATGGAATTAAAAACCCTAGAAAATGATGTATCACTCGACCCCCCTTCCCGTTTAAAATTTTCTAGGGGGTGGCTCTGGGGGGCTGGGGGGTTGAAAGAGGGAAGGTAAATTTTGCATAAAAACTTATCCCCTTTCAAATTATAGTTGACGTGTTTGAGGGATTTTTTCGAAAATTTTTCTACTCCGAGATAATAGGGGTGGGAAGTTTTCAAATTGACACCCTGTACATACATATTGTAAGCTTCAAACTGTAATACTAAATTGCAGTTTGTAGCATTATAAGTCTTTACTTTATTCTTTCTTTGGTATTTTAGAAGAAGCCATTACCCCAGAAGTTTTGCTGTTTCTCAACTCCGACGCCATTGCGAAACTTTTACCAAAATTAGGGGAAAGATTCGTACTGGTAAGAAAATTGGCAGAAATCAAAGAAAAACAACGTCTAGAGAAAAAAATCTATCTCCTAATCTTCCCATTATTGATGGGACACTTAATATTTCCACCTTACCATCAGAACGAGATGAAGTATCAGTGGTGAGTATTTGAAATATAATTATTAAAAGTACGCACCTACGTCAATCACTTCATCTTATTCTGTGATATTCTAGATAGAACTAGTAGACATCGAGGGCAAAACCTACTCTATCTTAACGACCACTGAAAACACAACAAATAATGACAATAATGTCCGCGGTCTAAATTTTAGTACCCATATGCTTATTCATTCATTTTTATAATTTGTAGATTGAATTCCCACATCGTAAGTCTCATTGAAGAACTTCCGGCATCATCTATCAGTGTTGCTTCAACACCAAAGAGATCTGTTCCAGGGGATTGGCATAGGTACATTCTTTGTAATAAAACTGTGAAAAATAGTATATTGTGTATTTAGGTGGAAAAGTAACAAACACCGGCAAACACCGAAGGCCGAGAATGTGCTTTTCTACCGAAATACACATACTATTTTTTCTGCGATCGGTTAAATATCTGTTTAATGTTTGTCTTTTTGTTCCTATTATTCAGCAGTACGAGAATCACTTTCCCGGCCTAGGCCAGAAAAGTGATTCCCGTATTGTTATTCATTGATTCCTTAGCAACTATTGAAACATAATTAAAATACCAGAATATTGGGTTTTGCGACCTGTCAACCGGTCAAAAATGCTGACATTTCTTGTCAATCGCAGAAAACATTATTTGTGTACCATTCAACATCCAAAGCTCCAAAATATGCACCCAGTTAGGAAGGTATGAAATTGAATATACCATTTTAGGATATAGGAAATTAATTTTAGGCTTTTCTTTTGACTTTGTCAATGGAATTTGCATAATTTTTTGGACAATAAAGCTTTTTTTGATCGATTGATTGATTGAGCTCTTCATTTTCATTCACGCTATGATTAGCCTTTTTCCGGGGTAAAGTTTTTGAGTTTTTCAGTTGGTGTTTGATGGTTGCTGTATGCCCTACGGTATCCTCGTTTTTCTAAACGCCTATTTTTTTATACTTTAAGTAGAAGCTTTGGTTGTAGAATTGTAAAATAGGAAATTTTTCTTTTTGCGTGTAGCCAATTTTTACAGAACATTAAAGTTAATCAGCAAATTAGGTTCTCTAGTAGGTACATAACCTATACTTAGTACTCAATTATGTACGTGTAGGTGGCGAAAATTCTGGTTTTGGTTTGTCAATATTTCGGGAAGAGTTGAAGATTAGGTATAGAATATTATACCTACATGAAAAGGATCTAGAATTTTCTAAAGAATCTAAAAATGTATTAATATGCAGGATGTTCCATTTTAAAAAAAGTATCATTGTTCTGACATTTCTTTATGGAACACCCGAAACCAACGTATATTTTCGGTCGCGTTTTAGGCTGTGGTCCGAATATAAGCAGGGTTGTGGTTTCGCGGTCCGGGTCCGAAAGTAATCAAATTACTCTGGTTCCTGGAAAAGTGGTTACTTTTGGAGCTTGGTTTCCTGAAATCTGGTTAATCAAATGTCAAAATAGTTACCGGCTATCGGATGTCGGTTCTGTTGATTTTATCTGTAAATTCTGTCAATTATTTTTTATTTCATATTCTCGTTCCCCAAGTAACCAGAATTTTCAGTAACCATTTGTCAACCGATTCGGTTACTTTAGTTAACGTTTGGTTATATTCGGACCATAACCTTAATACCACTTATAAATGTCAAATTTGAACTGTGTGTCAAAAACGACAAATAAAAAAGTTACTTTGGTTAAAATGTGGCCAATAATCCTGTACAAGGGCACATGATTATCGAAAAATCCCATAGTTTCGCATTAAAACTTTTTGAAAGAAGTTATTACAAATGATTTTCAGTAGTCAAAAAGGCAAATTATCTCGCTCCACCAAACAGTTTTTATTATGTAAAACAATGGCCGCGTTCACCAGATACAAACGTTGGTAAACGGTTTGCGATTGTTCTGCTGAACGCTACGTTGAATTTATGTTGAAACCAAACATGTTTTGCAAACGGTCGCCATTTTTGCAAGCATGACCTGTCATTCAGAGGGTGACGTTCTATCATTGAAAAGTTGAATCGTTCAGCAGAACCAAGAGTTTACCCAACGTATTCTGTTGGTATTTGTAAACAGTTCACAATCCGTTTTGGTTCTGGTGAACGTAGCCAATATCGTGTTGTCTTTAGCTACCATTAAGATAAGTGTTGAATTGCTTCAGGTGTTTAAATTCTAAAAGTACCTAAATTTAACCTTAGAGATTTTGTGTCTAAATTGTTATAGTTTTAAAATCACTCAACACTAACACACTGCCGCTGTGCAGCAGCTCCACTTTGTTCCACCGCTTCTAGAAATGCAGTTTTCAATGGAGATATCTGGTGCTGTAAGTGAATGACTGCTGTACATAAAAAGACGTGATAGATAGCGCACCTACACAGAAAAAATAGAATGAAGAATGAAGCTCACATTGTAAAAAATGTCCTACTCCTAATAATACTCCACCACCTGTTTTTTCTCTAATGCCAATTTTTTTTCCTTCCAGCAAACACAATACTGATCCGCTAAAAGTTCAAACTTTGTTGTCGGTAGCCCAAAAAACAGTGCAGGTAAGCTCCAACCCTAATTTTATCAGAATCCAGCGCACGAGCGCAAAATTCCTGTTAGTCCGTTGCCTTCTCTGATGCTACCAAATTAAATGGTGCCAAAATATTCCAGGTAGCTCTGCGGGTGCTGCCACCAGGGCCACCGCCACCGCACCGCAAAGTTTACGCGTGCACAATAATAAACGCAAACATAATACCACTTTGACCACCGAATGCCGACAATGAAGGAGGGATTTCATTTCACCATTTAGGGATATCTTTGCCGTATATGGTATCGTTCGGTTCTAAATATGGTATTGGGCTGTCCCACTGTATGTAATATTACATCCCACTTTTACGCTACTAGTGAGTGATTGTACGATTTGTTGGCGAACTAAGTTGGTTTAGTTTTCTGCATTGGGGGTACACACTTTAGCTACAATAGAGGGGTTGGTCGAGTTACAATAGAAAAATTACGCTGTAAGTTTTGGCGTATTTTTGGATAATTGTATTAAACTCTAAACTAAAATAAAACTTATGCGAGCTTCTTACTGTTTAGGTCAGGTTACCTATGAAAAGTAAAGGAAGTGCGTGTCGGTAGACGGGCACGAGATATCGAGTCCGTTTCTAAAAGAGCGGTAAAGGAAGGCACGTCTGAGATAGACGCATGCGCACATTAATAGTGTGAGCATTGGCCGTGGGAGTGCGCTGGGCGGTACAGTCGTTGTCTCACTGTCGCGATAATCGCTCGTGGCCCTCTCAGCGTTAAAATCAGCTGGTGATTTCGTGGTTGCGTATTTTATTACGCTCCTATAATATCTTGTGACGTGTGTTTTGTTTATTATTCCCAAGCTGTGGTGCGAAATGGAGCCCCCCGGCGGGAGAGATTCCCGTTTTCAATTAGGTTACAATATGAACTTGTTGAGCGGCGAAACGCCACCCGAAATTTACGGGGGAAGTTTAGGGCGACCGTCGACGAGTTTGCAACAACTTTCGCCCAGACACACGATGGTGTCGAGTGCCTGTGGGACTAGGGGTGGTCTTAAATCGGACGGATGCTACGACGATCGGGGAATCACCCCCCAACATGGAATGGGTTTCGAAGCGAGCGGCGTTAACGATATTCATGACGAATCGTACAGCTCGTTACAATCGAAAAAATCGCCACCGAGCAATGGCAAAAAGACCAAAGGACGCGTTAAAATCAAGATGGAATACATCGAGAACAAACTGAGGCGGTACACGACGTTTTCAAAGCGGAAAACAGGAATTATGAAGAAGGTGAGTTTAACCTCAATTTCTGTATTACGAATATTGCGATGATAAGTTTGCGCTCTGCCGCTTTTTATACGACGATGCCAAATTGTGCGTAAAATAGTTTTTTCCTCTACCTACTACGTAAAATAGACATTTTATGTATTGTTTTTCGTAGAATCTAAAACTGCAATTTAGAAAACGATTCAACTTGAAAGAGTTGTGCCACATTGGAAAAAAATGGGTAAAACATAGGTATCTAAAATAATGATTTCATATTTCCTGGAAACCTTGACACAAAAAACTGTAAAAGTTATAATGAGATGTCAAAATCTAGTTTGTTATTAGAAATGAAATATTCACTGGAAGGTTTCAGCTTCAACTCAATATGAAAAAAGGATTCTTCAAAGAAGGATCCAAGAAGGTGTGATATCCGTGATATTAAATTACTTCAGACAGAACGCGAAAAATTCATTCAATAATTACAGATGCTACTAGAGACATCCAATATGGCCGTCTAGGAAAAAGAAGAAGAATGAGTTTTGGCACCATCCAAAGAACTTTAAAATGGTTTAAGTATAAGTTTTAAGTTTCAACCATGTTGGATTCGTCCAGTGCAACATCTGACGGCTTACCAGAAAGAATTGCTTTTTGAATTTGTTGGCTGTTGCACATATGATAACATAGCAGGACAGAGATCCAGACTTACGTATTCAAAAATATTCTTTAGACAAATCAAGCTAAGTAGGTACCTTACTACCTCGGACATTTTTTTCTGGTGTCAAGAAAACCACAAAAGATATCAAACTATAAAATTTCAAGGAAGAACATCGGTTCATGTTTGATGTGGTATTCTAAATAATAAATGTATTGCTCCAGGTTCATTGAGTGGTCAAAGATATTTCGATTTTCTCGAAAATAGTATTAAAAACCTCCTAGAAGAATTACCCGTAATGGCATATCGAAATATTAATTGTCAACAGGATGAAGTTCCACCTCATGCAGTCCGCAATCTGTTGGATTTTTCAAACAATTGATACGGAGGAGTGGATTGGCCGAAATAGATAGCCACCGAATAGTTATGAGGTCATCTAAAAGAATTTGTTTAGTGTCAAACAAGCCAAGATATTCAAGAAATGGAAACTAAAATTCAAAACGACATAAATCGAATTAAATGGAGAAAATAATATTCTTACAGCAAGTCTAGAAAGATTGAAAAGGGGTAACTGGACCTGTTTGGAAAGTAATGCAGCCCACAATGGGCATTTAAATTATTAGAATTATTGTTGTTGTGTTAATTTCTATTCTTGTTTATTTTTTTAAGTTATTATCAACGACTTCGTCTCTTCAAAAAAATGTTTCAAACTTATTTGGGGTCATTCCTTGTTAATAAACAACAAAATGCACAGTCCTTATAGATGATGCAACCGAGGGGACAATAAAAATGATGTGACGTGTGTGATGTCATGTGGCAAATGCAGCATGCACTTTTTTGCGATTTGGTCCCCCATACTAGGAAAACAGGAAAATTTACATACCATACTTGTTAAAAAAATACTAGATTTTGACATTTCATCATTGTAACTTTTACAGATTTTTGTATTTATATATTTTGTTATATATATAGGAAATCATTATTTTGCCTGTTCTGCCGTTTTTTTTTTCTGATAAATTAGATCAACTCTTAGGTATTCTTTTCAACAATACTCACAGAAAATGCGACGAGTCCAAATATGAAACAAAAAGTATGGCTCTCCATTAAAAAAAATACAAGTTTGTGTCACAACTATTTCATTTACAGTTAAATAGTTGGGAAAAGAATCATACCTTTTAACCTAAAACGGCTAGGTATTTCGGATTTTCTCAAAAATACAGGCAAATTCAAAAATTTGCCCCTGTTACCACATATTAATATCAGGAATCCTATAATTATATTTTTTTTCAAAAATGTAGTAGGTATTTCAACAATAATTAGATACCTAAATTTTTTAACAGAATAAGTAATGCCTTATATCTTATATCATCAACTGAATATTCTGGATCTACAATTTAAATCCCTCTAGTGTCTATTTGTTAATAAATCCTTAATAAATTGAAGAATACTAATAATAATTATTTTTGCTTCTTCTATTACTTTCTACTGAAATGCCCTTGCATTGACATTATCATTTTGCCCAAAACAAACATTTTTACCTATAAAATTTTAAGTGAACTCGCACCCAAACTGTTTATTTTTGTTATTAAAAAACATACTGCTCCAATCTCCAATATTGTGGTGCCGATGCTGACATCATAACATTAGGTTTATCAACAAAGCTTTAATACACGTGAGTAAAAGCGCGCGCATAGTCTGGCATCCGGCACAGGGCACAGGGTTGCCAAGGTTTATCACAAGTTTTCATAAATTATAATAATTTTGTTGTATAAAATTTTTATTATTATTATCGATAATAATGCATCATTTTTCACTAATGCATTGGCATCCATTAAGTTAGCATTACCAATTATTGCAAATGACAATGATTTTTCAGAAAGATAACTTGTAAGTGGGGGCTTACACATTACTTTAATTTTATCAGCAATTTTTTTTTAAATTTGAACAATAATATAGATTTTCCTTTTTTTTAATAATAAAACGTTACCTGATATACAGAGTATCTATCTATCTGAATCCGCAACTACGAGGTCATTCAAAGAAACCCGCTGCAGAAAATACTTCTTAGCAAATAGAGTTGTAGGTATAATATGTAGAAGAGAAAGAAACTCTTGTGTTTTTAAAATTGAACCTGAAACCTGGAAACAAAATAAACAGCAATATTTTCATGAGTTTTTCCGCCCGCTATTTGGAAATAAAGTATCTTAAAAAGAAACTTAAGATACGCATTTGAGGCCCTTTTTTTAAATAATAATAAAATACCTACCCGAAGTAGGTAACTTCTGATAGGTACTTTCTCGAAAATCCAAAATTTTTGACAGCTCTGAATCCAATTCAAAAGAAATTCGTAGTGCTCTCAAAGACTCTATATCTTTCGGAAACATTCAAACTTCTGAAGTAAAAATGCTATGCATCACAAAGATTCTATTTCTGAAGAACTTGGTAATTCTCCTATTCAACTGATTCAAACCTGATAATCAGTGGTTGATCCCTTAAATAATGTATCCTTTTTTATTTATGGAGCTGTTTTTTCGCATTCAATTTAATGTGCAGCTAGCAATGCAACTCGTCGTTTCTTAAAATTTCCCCATAATCTAACCTACAAAATCAGCAGGGAGACTCACAAGGCCCACCGTTATTTTGCCTTGACATACACATAAAATCAGGCCAAAAATAATATCATCAATGAAATCCCAAATTAATTTATGGTATTTAGATGATGGAAGAACTTTTGGAGATGACTAAGTTTCCACAAGCGTGAGTCTTCAAATATCAATTCCCTGATCTCTAACAACAAATAGTTCCAAAGGCCGTTCTTTTTTAGTGAAAAAAGTTGTTGAATTTAATAATTTGAAAATTTAAACTCTGGAAATGCCTTGGCAAAAGCTTTCTCAAAATATAAAATATCTTCTCTCATGCAGCATATTATTTATTGAAGCAGTCTTTCAAATTTGGTATAGTTTTAGGTACGGTCTTAAGGTTCTAGGAAACTATCGCACGCAACTTGTACGCGGCCTCCTTGAGAAAAATGGATGTGTGTCAAAATTTTTTTTTGCTCACAGGTCTATTTTTTCATGTAGATTCGTATTTTGAAATAAAAAACATAGCATTCTACTTGAAATTTCAAAGTTACCCCCCACGTCTTAAAAGGGTGGTGCCTCTGGGGTTGCAAAAAAAATATGTCTCCCCCCTGTACTTTCTACCTATGTCCGAGCCTATGTCATCAAAATGTCAGGAAGATATTTGGAACCGTTTTTGAGTTATCGCATTGTAACCTTCAAAGAACTCACCCTAAATTTAGGTGGCACAATTTTTTTATGAAAAAAAATATACAGTGTCCTTTACTACGTAGTAGGAGATCCTTTGAGTAACCCTAAAAAATAATTAAAAAAATATTTCTCATCCATTCTTGGAAATATGAAGAGCCACCTAAATGTGTAAATTGATGGCCTGTTGGATACAAATCTAATATGGCCGCCATCTGTATTGGTATTTTTGAGAGATGCTCTTCTATAAGACACAAAATCTTGAGTATTAGTTTTTGTAGCTTTTGAGGAGACGGACTTTGGACACTACAAACTCTTCATGATGTTGAGCTGGTTGTCGAATGCAAAACTATGTTGACTGATCAAGTCCATACCCAAAATAAACTTATCCTCTATATCAGCACTTTGTGACAGATATTAATATTTCCTGATCTCAAGTCAATTTCTGTTTCTCCACGCACATTTGCGGTCTTTCCAGCCACTGTGCGCAGTATAACTCTCCTTGATGGTGGCTTTGCATTCAACTTTTTGGCAATGTTCGCATTTAATAGATATACGGCTGCTCCTATGTTCACTGTTATAATGATATTTCTCCCATTGATATTTCCTTCAATAATCAAACTGTCTGCAGTCCTTCCTAGCACTTTGATGGTTAAGGTTCCAGGGGCTTCACTTGCTCTAGTCAACACCCGCCTATTCGTGTTGGCTAATTGTAGTTTTCCTGGTTCTCCTTTGAAGGCTGAGAGTCACCAAAACGAGAGCGAGATCCTAGCCGTACTCTACAGTCACCTTTCCAGTTGCCTTGATTGCTTCTGAAACTAACCTTTCGCCATTTGTTCTAAAATTTCCTTCAATGTGTCAATAATTTAACTCATTGGTTCTTTTTCCTCTTGTATTGACACAGGTCTTGGGACCCAATTCTTGAAAGATGTCGCATGCGAGATTTGATATGAGTTCGAACGCTTCCCATTTAATTTACATTACTGTCAGTCGAATTCGGATCTGGTTTCGATGCGATATTTTTCAAGAATTGGGCCACTGGACTTTGAACAAGGCTCCGCTGCTACTTGATGGTTTGTTTATGAGCAGCGTTCTCTGTACATCCA